TGAGAATGAAAAAAATCTATGTTCAGAACCTCTTACTAGTCTATTTGATTATGAAGCAATCAATTTAGATAGTGCCACTCTCAAAGATATATGTAATTTAAGGTATGAAGAATACATATCAACTTACACTTCAAAATCATTTAATTTTTTATCTGAAAATACTAAACTGCAAAGTTTATCTAATGCATGGAATATTCACAGAGCAGGCAGAATTACAGCATCTAGTTTTTATGAAGTTATGCATTTTAAATATAAAAACTCAAGTAACTCGTTGCTTAATAAGTTAATGTGTTATACCAAAGCACCAAACACACCTTCTTTAACTTACGGCAGAGAAATGAAATGCAAAGCCAGGGAACACTATCAAACTATTATGAAAGAAAAACACAATGATTTTCAAGTGACAGCTACTGGCCTTCATATTTTATACAATAAGCCATATCTAGGAGCGTCCCCTGATTCTATAGTGAGCTGCTCTTGCCACAGTGATGGTTTGCTTGAAATTAAATGTCCATTTAATTATCGAAATGGTTTAGTTAACTGGGAAATGGATTATAATTTCCCTATTGACTCATCTGGAACCATGAAGAAAAATCACAAATATTATGCACAAGTTCAAGGTCAATTATATGTTCTAAATAAAGAATATTGTGATTTTTTTGTCTGGGCTCCAAATCATTATTTATTAATTCGAGTTACTAAAGACTTAGAGTTTATTGATGAAATGATGCCTTTGCTCTGGAAATATTTCATTGAATGTTTACTACCTGAAGTTGTTACACGCAAAAATGATGTATGTTTAGACAATAAGCAAAAGTATTACTGTACTTGTAAAAGACCCTGTTTTGAACCAATGATAGCTTGTGATAAACCAGGTTGTAAAGTTGAATGGTTTCTTTATTCTTGTGTGAAAATTACACGGGCTCCAGTTGGTCCATGGATATGCAACAGTTGCTCAAAATGAAATTATATTCAATATGATTCTGCATTTTAACACTGTTACTTTGCTGTTTGTAAATCTGTACTCCAATAAGGTTTATCGATTGACTACGGTTCCGGCAACGTTTCACTATTTGCTAATGTCATTCATCTTGTAATCTAGATGATCACTGCTGTTTAGTTAGTTAAAAAAGAAAAGTTTTAAAAACGGTTATTTTCATAGCCACATGTTGTTAAAATCATTATTCTGCATTTGAATTTTCATTTTTTTAAAACGATTTATTTGAATAATTAGATAAATTGTTTACCATAGTTTTTAAATACCTTAACATATGTTACTTTTTTTTTTCTAATTAATTAAATTTAGTTTTAGTTTTTCTTTCAACCAATCTTTGTTTGAAATGAGTAAAAGAAGTTTATAGGATACCATATGTACTCCTATAGTACTCTAGGTACCTCTTAACAAATAATTTATCGTTTTATTTAATCTAAATCATAGTTTTCAAAATAATATTTAATTGCTTTATAATTACTAAGTTATTTTAATTTGTTTGTATACTGATTTTATACTTTATTCTTATTTTTTGGTATTACACATAAAGTTTTGAATTAAAATTGTTTTATGATTTATAGTATCCATTGTGGTATGCTTTGGTTGTAACTGAATAAAAACAAAAACCGACAACATTTAAAATACTATTTAACAACAATATTATAAAAATATTATTACATTTTCATAATACTAGTATTCAAGTTAATTATGCCAGAAATTATAACCATGATATGATCTAATAAATCTACTTGTGATATTGGAATGTTTGTTGATAAAATTTTAAATGTTTTTAATCTACCAATAACACGTTCAACGTGTATTCTAGCATGAGATATCTGCCTTGATATATCTACATCACGCTGACAATTGACTTTTTCCTCTAGTAAATGAAGGTATTCTTAGCACAGCTCCTTTTGTAGCTAATTCCTCTTCGATTTAAAATCCTCTATCTGCGAGAACGCAATCACCATGGATTATCTTATCCAAAAATCCCGGTATTTGGGGTTATTTCTTTGTCCGATACCCACCCTCCCCATCCTGCGGATAAAAAACTTACTGTTCCAGCTGGTGCCATAGCAATTAAATATTTTATTGTGTTGTGTGACTTGTAGGTAGAGTAAGTCTGTGCTCTCGCTGTTAAATTTAATGGTCTTGCGATAAATATTTCAGTGCAGTCAATTATGCAGCAACAGTTTTTAAAGTTTTTAAAGCATTTTGGTAAGTTAGCTCTCAGGAGATCTTTACTGGGCCATACTATAAGATTTTTCAAAACTTCAGATAATTTTGGTAACCATTTTCGGATTGTAAGAGATACATTTTCTTTTGTGATGTGAAACCTTATACTCAAATCATAGTTTGTAACACCAAGTCTAATTTTCATTAGAGTAAGCAATAAGTGATTTTCAAACGATAACGATTTCACAACTTGATTCAAGATCTGGTCTTTCATGAAAGGCAGAATCCAATCAAATAATTCAAACTTTGGTAGACCAGTTAAAAAGTTAAGTTTTTTTTCAAATTTGATATTTTTATAATCCATTAACTTGCTCCTTAGAATTTTAACATTTCTTTTTGATTTAAATAACTCAACTCTATTTTTTTTCAATTATTTTTTTAACAACGATATTATTATCTTTTGTTTAGATACGATGCGTTAAGTTTAGAACAATGTGATTCTGTTTCTGTTTGTGTACCTGAAACGAAATAAAAGGTTAAGAAAAGCAAATTATAAAAAATAAATTTACTTTGAATTAAATAAATTTATATTGATCTAATATTACGCTCTGTATGATATATCATGGGTTTAAAATGTTTGATTACCATAAAAATAAAAGGGGCATTTTGCACTAACTTATAACTAAAATAAATTATAACTAACTTATAACTAAAAAGATCAAAGGTCCTTCCACCTCCCCCCTCCTTCTTCCTGAGATAGTACTTGGTACTGAGAAGTACTTGGTAACAACAATTCAACTCACAACAAACAATCATTTATATAGCACAGGCTATGTTTGCGGGGACGTAGAAGGTATGACCCCTTATTTAATTCCAAAGTTTTAACAAAGGAAAAAATATAAAATTATTTGATAAAAAAATTTCATAGTGAAGTTAAACCTTTTTTGTTCGGTTCTTGGCAAGGCGTACTTAAATAACAGGCCTTCTCATCGCGGAACGGCTTAAAAAATGTGGAGGCCTATTTAGTTAGCGGCCAAAGTTACTACGAATAACTTGTATCCCTACCAGAAGACTTAAAAATGCCCAGAAAATGTTGTGTTACTGGTTGTAACTCTAACTATGACTCAGTAAAAGATAAGACAACTACTTTCAGATTACCGAGAGATCCAGTAGAGCGTCTAAGATGGATTAAAGCAATCCCAAGAGAAAATATACCAGACAAACATGACACTGTATAGGAATGCGCGTATCTTTCGATTTACGGCACCGATCTTGTAATGAAAAACTTCGACCATTTTAGTGAAGCGTGCAAGGCGTATGTGTTGTAAGAATGTATTTTCTTGTGTTTTTTTATAGAACTTCATATCAACATATATATTTTTTGAAAAGTAGAATAGTTAAACATTATTTTAGTGCTGTTCTTTTTTGTAATTACCACCGCTATCGTTAAATTTATGGTTCTTAAAAACTTTGTTTTTGATCAGATGTATAATTCATATTAAAGGAATGTTGATAACTTTTTTAAATCTATTGGGCCCAGTGAATAAACATATTTTCTTAGTGCATGCCAAATTTTATTACAAAATATTATGTAGCAGACACCTAATTTTTTGTAGCAAAATAGGTACTTATGTGCTGTAAGAATGTGTTATTTTGTAGAGTTTTGAACCAAATTATATATTTAAAAAAAAGTTGAAAAGTAAGGCCTTACTTTTGTGGTGCTTTTTTCAGTAGTTACAACCGCTATCATTAAGTTAACTGTTTATGAAAAAATTCGTTGTTGGTCAGATGTAAAATTTATATAAAAAAAATGTTGATAACTTTTTTAAATCTATTTTTTCCTGTGCAGAAACCTTTTTTCTAAGTGCATGCCAAATTTCATTGAAAAATATTATGTAGCAGATACCTTATTATTTGTTGCAGCACAGGTACCTAAGTTTAACTTTTTCCGGAGAATAAAGGTAGGTAGGGGGGGGGGCAAGCAACGATCTTTTTAAAAAATCGTTGTTAACCCCCTCCCCCTAAATGTATATTTATTTAATAATATATAATAACAATAATAGTATATATATATATATATACATATATATATATATATATATATATATATATATATATATATATATATATATATATATATATATATATATATATATATGTACATATATATATATATATATATATATATATATATATATATATATATATATATATATATATATATATATATATATATGTACATATATATATATATATATATAAATATATATATATATATATATATATTTATATGTATATATATATATATATATATATATATATATATATATATATATATATATATATATATATATATATATATATATTTATAAGTTTATAGTAGGCTTAAAAACGATATATAATGATAAGAATTATATAGTAATATTTTATAGTTATTCTTATTACTTATTACAAAATAATTTTTAAACTAAATATAAAAAAATTTATCATGATAAAAAGTATATGCAAGTTGGTTATGAAAAATGAGTGAGATATCACTCACATAATCATAGACTATCATAATACAATATTATCAGTATCATAACATAATTGATACATTATAGATGATAAATCACCAGATGATAACCATATGGTTATAAAGCTTATAATTGTTATCATAATAAATTATTTTAAGTCATTGGTAAAGTTAACTCATGATTGAACAAAATTGAAATTTATTGCATACAAATGATATCAATTAAATTTTTTTGCTTAAAAAAGAAGCAAGTAACTAATTTTCTCTGGATGTTCTTTTTTTCATTTAAGAAATAACTCAACGTGACATTATATGGTATTATGGGTCCCAAAAAGAATATGTGTGTGTTTCGTGGTGCAGCGAAAAACTATATAGAATCAAACTTTGCATTGTCTTTGCAAGTAGACAACAATTGTAAAAATGGGCATATTCTGTTTGTATTTGTTAGCAATAATGAATCACATCAATTAACTATTGAGCAGGTTAATAAACTTTATGGCTTCAATATTTGTTACAGTCATACTAAACTTCTTGTTAATGTATCAAAAAAATGGGCTTGCAATTTTTTAAGAGATTCAAAACATTTTGTTGACTTCTGCAACGAGCCTTTTATTTGTCAAGCAGCAACATTTCCAGCAACAGATTCATTTCAGTCAAGTCCAAGTTCAAGTAAAACTGTTTCGTATTTGTCAGTTGCCTCATCTCCTAAACATAAAAGTATTTTGTCTTCACCTAATAAAAAAAGTCCTTTGTTATCCAGGTTAAGAGCTGACCAGTTGACTCCTCAAAAAAACTCCTCAAACATAGATTAAGTGTTTTTGCTACTGAAATTGCTACTGAAAAACGAAAGCATAGAGAGGATGTAAAGGTGTTAAAAGAAAAAATTAAAACAAGGCCAAGATTTAAACATCTCAATGAGACTATTGCTCGCAAAGAAAAGACAATTCGAAGTTTGCGGAATAAATTAAAAGTTCAACGTCTAAACTTACAGCTGAATAAGCTTCAAATTTCAAATTTTCGTTTGAAAAAAGAACTGCAATTCACCCAAACAAAGCTGTCTAATGAAGAAGTTATCTTACGTCAACAACTTGCTGACAAGAATGTAGAGATTAATGTCCTGCAAAATGATATGCTTATTTTACAGGAAAAGATAGAGCAAATGCAGCAGAAAGTACAAAGCACCAGATGTAAAAAAGTCTACTCATCTGATATTAGGGCACTTATCTATGACATGCTAGCATGTCAAGTTCCTACACACAGTGTGCCCCAACTTCTTCATAAAGTAGGAGAACACTTTGGGTATAGATTTAGTGACATTCCACATCGCAAAACTGTGGAGCAGATGATGCGCGAGCTGGGTATTATTTCAGAACTCCAGGCTGCTGAGATAGCATTCTCAACAAAAAATTTGACTCTTGGTTTTGATGCCACAACCCAGGAGGGTGTTCATGTCAATGTTGTGCACTTAACAAATGAATCTTCGTGCATGGTTGTAGCCATTGACCAGCTTGCTGGTGGTACATCTTATGACTATATGAGCCATATTACAAAGTCTGTGGATAATCTTGCTAAGTTGTATAGTGACTTTTACCGGAAACAATATACTGATGTACGAAGCACGATTATCAGCAACATAACAAACACAATGAGTGACAGAGTGGCAGTGAACCATGCAACTATAACAAAGTTAAACACTTTTTGGCAAAAATCTCTAAATGAACTGAACTGTCACCTTCACCCATTGGATACAATTACTTCTGCTTGCAAGTCATCGCTTAAAGCTTTGGAATCTTCAAAAGGGAAACTTTTTGGTAGAGATTGTTTTGCAGCAAACATTGTAGTTCAGTTAAATAAACTTCGTTACAAGGATGGTAAAGGTAAATAAATATGATAAATTCTTATCATATTTTTACTATAATAATGTCATCTTAATATTTTAAATTTATTTTATTTCAAGTTGTTATTTTGAATTTAAATCTGAACTTAATAAATGTGTTTTGTTAACATACTTGCTTAAAATAAGTTTTTTGCATTGCACTTTTGGTTATAATTTTATTTTTAAAGGTGATCCAAAAGGCTTTGTCGCCTTTTTGGACAAGCATGGTCTTCCTAGAGGACTTATACCACGCTATAGGGGAAATCGATTGCACATACTTTTTCATACATGTGGAACTTTAATACATCACTACCAGAAACTTCAGAGTTTTCTGTTTTCTGGAGTAGTGTTATGTGGAGGACTGAGAAATAGTCTTTTCCAAGACTTCACATCTGATACAGGTTAGATGTTATGATAGATTAATAATCAAAATGTTTGGTTCTTATTTTTTTATAGTATATTTTATTTAATTTTAGGTATACGCGAGATGTGTGCCCTAGGTTTAATTGGAAAGTTAGTGACTGGTCCCTGGATGAAAAAATTCTATGTGGCGCCAGGACAAGGACTTGACTATTTGTCTGGCATCCAAGTGATCAAAAATGTTTGCAATGCACTTGTTGAAAGCAGCGCAGAAGCTCTTTCCCTTATTCACCGAAAAACAGATTTTTTTGGAGGTGATCTCAATGATCCAGTTTTTCAATCACTCATAGGCTTTTGCCCAAGGACTGATGAAATGAGAGATGCATTAGCCAGCTGTCTAAATGCTGTCATTAGTGTTATTAACCGTCAGTATGAGCGACAGTTTACTATGACTTTAACTGACCAACTCAAGTCCCAGACATTATCAGCACGTCCACATAATATTGACTGTGAAGAACTTGTGGGTATGTTTAGTGCTGCAAAGCAAAAAGCTCCTAATGCCACACTTTGTTATTTGTCTTCGAAAATTCGCGCATGCAAGAATAAGACAGCTGATTTTCTTTCTGAAAAACCTACTGATATACGAAATAAATTGATAGCCTGGTCTATTTCTTCAGCCGGTAAAAAGCGCTTAGCAACGTAAACTAAACAGCACGTAAACTAAATTTGTATTTCTAAACAATGTTCTTTCTATGAGCAATCTAAAAAACTAATCAAAATGTAATAAATAAACTCTGACCATTTTTTTTGTAAAAAAAAAACAACAACTTTAAAACTAATTCATAAATTTGCTATATACTTAATTTACTACCCAAAATTTAATTGCTACATTCTTTAAAATATTATTGTCTGAAGCTATTATAAAGCAATCCTCTTATAATCAATTAATCATAACCCCTATCGTAACAGAAAGCATGTCTATAAAAATATGTTTTTTAGAAATATTAAAGGAAAATCGCAGATTATTTTTTGAGGATAAAGACGTTTCTTACACTGGAGTACCATTCATTGTTTCATCAAATGGTACACTTGACTGACATCATGGCAAGGATAAAATAGTAAAGCTAAAGCTCTGTACAAAATTAAAAAAAATACAGAAGCAGTAAGTAGTACAAAAACCCTTTTAAGTTTATTTATCTCTTTTTTATTTTTGCTTCTCTTTATAAATAAACAAATTTTTGTTCTAAATAGGTTATCTACTTCTGTTTTATATTATAAGAATGATTTTCTCATGTTTTAAAATTACTTTATTCTTGTACAGAGTTCAGATCATTCTTTCAAAATAAAAAGAATGATTCCACAAATTACCAAGAAATTTGATTGTCCCGCCAAAATTTTTATCAAAGAAATTATTGAATTTCCTGAGTTTAAGGTATTGTACTCTTATTTTTACATCAATACTTAACTTTTGATGCATGTCAATATTTATTATATTCATAACAATTTAATTTTGTATATATATATAAATATATATATATATATATATATATATATATATATATATATATATATATATATATATATATATATATATATATATATATATATATATATATATATATATATATATATATATATATATATAGCTGGATCGAGATTCTACCAGGATCAGGAAAGAAGTTTCAAAAAAATTACGTTCAGCTTTGATTTTAAAACAAACAGTTTTAATGTGCAGAAAATATATTTTGGTAATTCCTGCAATATCTGCTCATAGTAACCATCTAATTAGTGATGTAAGTAGCGCAGTTACATTTACTATTGGTCTTCGTGTTTGTATTTATTATAATTATTTTCCACTCTTTATCTAACTATTAGGCCGCAGGTCTTAATCAACCTTTATGTGAAGAACTTATTTTAAAAATTGGTGAGTTGGCCAGAACGGGTGTCAGTTCTGTTACTGAAATGAGACGTCATCTAAAGACCTTTCTTCAGATGGAATTTAATTCTAATAACATGCTGCAGAAGACAAACAAACAATTTTTTCCAAGTGATAAGACCATTGCAAATCACATGTTGATAGCTAGACAAAAACTTCGCAAGTCCATGATAGATCAAGAATGTCTTTAGGAAAAAATAAATGATTGGAAAATTAATTTTCAAGATACAATGATAAAATTTAGACCAAAGGGAGGTAATTTAGAAGATAATGATCTTATTTTTTGTTGTTTGTATATCAAGATATATGGCAAAGAAGATTACTATTAAGATATGGGAATGAGCTTGCTTTTCTTGATGCTACATACCGAACAACCAGATATGCACTACCTCTTTTTTTCCTCGTCGTTAAAACTAACATAAATTACCAAATTGTTGCTATATTTGTGTGTGAACATGAAACCACCAAATCTATTAAAGAATCACTTATGTGCATCAAAGAATGGAATCCTTTATTTCAACCAAAGTTTTTTATTACTGATTATTCTAATGAAGAAATAAATTCACTTGAATCAGTGTTTTCAGGTTAATAATGTATTTTGTTATTTCGTGGTTGTCAATGAATTTACTTATTTCAATTACAATAAAGTTTTTTTCTCTATATTTTTTACTTTTACTATTTACTGTCATTATTTTCATTTTAAGTCATACTTGATTTTAAATTGATTTTAATTTTATTTTATATCAAGTCATTCTTTTCTATGTAATTTAAATGTTTTTATTTGACTTAGGTTCTACAGTGTTATTTGTGATTTTCATCGAGAACAAGCTTGGGAACGATGGCTGTCTAAAACTGCTAATGGATGTTGCATGGTGAAAGATGTAGTTAAAGATAAGCTTCGTGAAATTGCACATGCAAAAACAATTGAGACTTGCCAAAAAGCTGTTGAGGCATTGGAGGAATCAAAAGAGTGGCAAAACAACCCAAAACTTGTAGAATATTTGAAAAGCACTTGGCTATGCATTCAAAAGGTAGTTACAGAATGTTGATTATAAATAAATATTTTCAACAATCAAAAAAAATATTTTTTCTTACAGCGATTTATACAATATTGTATCTATTGGTTAATTGCGACTATTGGTTTAATCATTTTGTTGTATTTTTATTTTATTTATAACAATTTGTTACTAAAATGTTACTAAGTGTTTATAATCCATTTCTTTCTGATTTTAGCGCTGGGTTGTTGCATATAGGAAAGATCGTATCTTGTTGGATGTCAACACCAACAATGGAACTGAAAGACAGAACCTATCTTTCAAATACAGTTTTTTTAGAAAAAAGAAAGAATTCTTCTCTAACAACTATGCTTAGTATTTGCATAGAAGAATTTCTTCCTCACAAATACGACAAGTTAGTTTATACAACTGCTGCAGCAGCACAATTTTGCTACTCATAAATTCCTTTACTAATAAGAGTTCTAAAGTTGTTCTTTGTTATTCACTATACTTATTATTTAACTTAATCTGTAACACTTTTTGAATATTAACCTGCTTTACTTGAGTTAACCTAAAATTAGAAATTATACTGAGTGATCTTTAAATAATATGATTACTGGATTTGTATATACCAAAACTCTAATTTTAAATATAATCGTTTTATTTTTTTGCGATCGATTAAATTTGAACTTTTCTTTAATTTTATTTATCTTGTTTTAGTTATTGTGATGAAAATAGAAGAGCACATTCCTCATATAGAAAATATGATGATAAAGTTCCAGCATATTTGATTGATCGTCCAATATCATTAGTCAAACATTGTATGGCATTGATTGAAAAATTACAAGGTGTGGATTTGCGGGGCATAACTGCTGTGACATACAAACTATACAATGTAGCTTCTTTTAATTCAAATAGTAGAGAGATTTACCAATGCTACCTTGGTGATTCTGAATGTCTGCCAGCTTGTTCTTGTCCTAGTTGGTTTCGTACCTCATATCCATGTAAACACTTTCTTGCCATTTTTCTAAAAGAGAATCTCTCTTAGTCTGCATTTGGCACTGCATATGCAAATTCTCCTTATTTCAAGCTGGATTTATTTTCAGAAGAAAATAGTTTAGCTCATTCCAATAAGGTTTCATTATATAATATTCAATAAGAACATGTTGAACCGCTACACATATCCTCTCTTATTAAACAGAGTGACAAGGAAGTTCAAAATTTTAATTATGTGCATGTAAATAGTAATCAGGGTTTGATTGCTATAAACTACAGTAATCATACCTCTGCAAGCTGTTGTGAGCTCTTAAATGAAATTAAACAAATGAGTTACTTTGTGACTCTCAACAAGCTACTGATAATTTGTTTGAAGGGCTTTGTCAATTTAAAACACGTTTAGCAGAAAGTCTTCCAGTAGAACAAGGAATTCTGCTGCGTCCAGAGATTCAACCTGATACTTGGAATAAGTCACACACAAATTCACCAAAACTTAGTCTTCTCCCTGTGCGGCGTAAAAGAAAAATGACTAAGTGTGTTGGTGTTAAATATGACAAATATAAAGCAGCTGCTGATATTAGTGTGATGGCTGAAAAGGAAAGTTATAGTTCTGAAATTGTCACAAGTCACTCAATTGATGAAAACTATGAAATTTTTATGGTTCCTAATGAATCAATTGATATCATGGAACATTTAACTGATGATAGTAACAACTCTGTTGATATGACTGTAAATGAAGATGTTAAACAAGATAAAATAGTGCTGCAAATTCAAAGTCTTAAATCATCTTTGATTGGTCATAAAGAACAAAATGATATCATAAAAAGACAAATGCTTAATGATAACGTAATTCACTTTTGTCAGCAACTTTTGGCAATCCAGTTAAATATTGATGTTGGACAGCAAGATCCCATTAAAGGACAAATTTTATCTTTTGATATCTATACAAGTACTCCATTTGTCCAAATTCTTCATGATGGAAATCTTCACTGGTTATGTGTAACCACATATGACTGTAAACCAGGGGAGATATATGTTTTTGACAGCCTTTTCCACGGTACAATCAAAAAAGACAAAAAGGCAAATTTGCAATATTTTGCATTGTCAAGAAAAAAATCTTGTTTTTAAAGTTTTGCCAGTTCAACAGCAAACGAATGGTGTGGATTGTGGTATTTATGCTATTGCCTGGGCTCGTCAGATTCTTGAAACAAAAAGTTTACCATCAACAAATCTAATGTTTGAGGAAAGTGAAATTAGAAGTCATCTCCTAAAATGTATATCAAATAACCAGATAGAGATATTCCCAGCAACTAAAAATCCTTTTTCCTTTAGAAGATGTGCTGCTAAGACTTTTTGTGTTCCTCTGCATTGCTCTTGTCGTATGTTTTGGGTGCCTGGAGACGAAGACATATATAACAGGTATGTTGGCACATATGAATAAGTTAACAACAAAATATTTATAACTGCAATACCTTATTTGGTATGTTAAATTTAACAAATTTTTATAATGTAGAAGCAATGTAGTATAATGTAGTAACAAATTTTTATAATGTATAATGTATTTATTTTTTTAAAGGCAAATGATACAATGCTGTGCTTGTAGTAGATGGTTTTATTGTGAATGCGAAAAAATTCCACTAAGTGCCTATGAGCAGGAAGATGAAATTTGGAACTGTTATGATTGCCACAACCAGTCAAATAAATAATAATAAAACAATAATACTGTTATACAGCACAGGTATATAATTTTTAATATTACGGACTGTTAATGTCGAACAGTCATAATTACTTGCGTAACATCCAAATAAACAATATTAAAAAAAAATGATTTTAGTTTAGGTTGATAATATTTAATTTATGCAGACTATACTTGATTTAATGTAAAACTTTTATGTTGGGAGGTCAATAACATTAACTGACCATAAACATTACATGTAGTATTATGTTACTTTATATAAATTTTATTTTATTATAATGCACGTACTCCACACAACAACCTTGCTTTGCAAAATGCCTAGAAAATACAATTCTTAAAATAATTTGCCATAAAGTAATACCACTGATGGCATTGTACTGAAAATCCATGCCAAAATTTTATAATAGGTAAACTATATTTAACTATTGCTTCTCTTTTTTCAGATAATTGATTTGTAATTATAAAAATTTTGTTGAAATTAAAATTTGATTCATAATTTAAAATTTTTTATAAATTAGGTATCATTTCAAAATAGTGGTGGCCTCCATGTTAGCTTAATGATTGGTATTCTTGCAAAAGAATTAAACGGCATGTCATTAAAAAGAAAATGAAGATATCGAGCATGATTTCTTTTCGTAAACTTGAGACATATTTTATTAACATATAATTATAATGTATATATATATATATATATATATATATATATATATATATATATATATATATATATATATATATATATATATATATATAACGTAGTTCAATGGCGTAGTAAGAAATGCTTTCTTTTCTTTATAATGTCGCGACTTTAAAAAAGGCTATAAAAAATTAGTTTTCCTGCTTATTTAACAGTTAGTTGTTATTATGTACTAAATGTCTAAATTTATAGCCGTAGGAATTTCACGCTTTGCTTTATATAATTGTCATTGATATAATTGGAAAGCATTTATAGAACCTGCTAATAATTTAGAACTACATCACAATTGTAGATATTGCTTAAGTTGTCTCTTGTTGATTATGATAAAAAATTATTAGGTAACATACAAAGTATTATTGCAATAATCCATTTTATTTAATTTTCATTTTACTTATAGTGATACCTATGGATTTATAGTGTTTATGTCTATTATAGACGTAGACGTTTATACTTTAAATAGCATGTATTTTTTAATTATAGCACATATATACGGCTATTCTTATACAGGTATAAACTGCCCTAATTGTTATGTTTGTGTCATTGTGCTTTATTATATATTGACATTGAACTGCTTATACCTTATTTGATATCGGCATACTTAATATGTATAGCCTTTTTGTGGTATAAGATGTTAGGGCGTCTTAGCTGAAATATATCCAAGTATATTTACTATTCTTAATGAAAAATGACAGTAAAATGGTTTTGCAATGTGTTACATATGAGAAAGCAATTTTATTTTTTTTTAAACAAAAAAAACTACTTTAAAGAGCGACACATTTATGCAATAGCTTATTGTGATTTTTTTGTCATTAATTTTATAATATAAAATTTAATATTTTATTATATAGCATGATTTTATTATATAGAAAAGATGTATTATAGAATTATAATGAATACAAGTTAATTTTTAATTCTGTGATTTACCTTTAATATTTTATGGAAACGTAAACTACTCCTATTTCATTTAAATTTTAGGCCCCCAAATCGTAATGGCATTTGAATATTTCTGTATTTTTAATAGAATTGCTTATATATATATATATATATATATATATATATATATATATATATATATATATATATATATATATATATATATATATATATATATATATATATATATAAAGGATAAACGCTAGTAGAGAGTTTGAGGTATAATACCTGTTAAGTGGTTCTTATCGAAACTAGAAGGGTAATCTATTTTTGAAGAAGTCATGAAGAGTCTATACATACATATCTTGAATACATAGAGTATAAAATAATTTCTTTCACTTAGTCCGGTAATGATGATCAAGAACTCGTCAGCCGAGAATCAAGAGTCCCTATGTCCACATTTTGTGCTTTTTCTGATTATGACCAATAAATATTCAACAACCAATTGAGTATGTGCCTAATAAATCATGTTTCAAGAATGATACAACTTTAAAATATTTAAAAAATTAGTCGAACATTCTGGCAGTGAGCCTTAGCAAATTGAATTTTAAAACTTGATTATCTCGGAAGTACGAAAAATGGACATACTTGGTGCTGGGCTAACGAACTGATTTATTTTGCATTTATGCTGTTTTTTATCATGCTGATACCACTTATTAACACGGCGTTAATTTTTGTCCAAAAATCTTTCAGCGCGAATTGTTCGCGCGTCTATTAAAACTAAATGTCGTGTAGACTGGAATATTTTTACGTTTGGTTCAGTCTAAACTAAAATATGCAGTTAAGTAACCAAGGATCATGGCTTAATTGGTCTGAAGTTGAATGTTTTTATGTGTTAATATGTTGAAATAGGAGTTGTATTTTTTGTTCATAAAAGAATATATGTATTTTTACACAATCTTCGTATTATTTTAATCATAATAAATAAGTCTACAAAAAGATGCTCGATAAACCACTATGTTAACTCTTCTATACACACAGTTTTACATTTGAAATTGATACTTACATTAATATCTTTCTTTTTAGCTAGAGATTTTGAAAGTTAATGAATATATCTTGAGATATCTTATTTTTTCTTGTAAAAATTGACATTTTTGATTTTCAAAAAGTCTTAAAACCTTAAATAATGAATTAACTTTAAAATCTCTAACTAAATATGGACCTAACACACTAAGGACCATTTGTGGAATTTTTTTATAAATGAAGTAAAAGATAAGTATGAGTTTATCTCTGATGTTTCGATGTGACTTTTTAACTATTTTTCAGTAAACTGGCAGCCATTTTAAAAAATATTTTTTTATTATTTGATTAAAAAACAAACAAACTATTTTTTAAGACTTTATCTTGAATGTTAAATGTAAATGTTATACAATTTTTATTTATTTGTCGCTTAACATAAAAAAAAAGTTTTTAATTTTATATTTGAAAAAATATATTTTATAAAAATAATATTTATTATTAGGTACAAATATATATATGTATATATATATATATATATATATATATATATATATATATATATATATATATATATATATATATATATATATATATATAAAACAGTATAAAAAAAATGTTTACAAATATTTAACTTGCAACGTGTGACAGGCTACACATCAGTGTTGTCCATGTTTAATCGAGAAATGCATTCAGAACATTTTATGAAGTAAGTTTATGTTTATTTTACATTATTGTGTTATTAGAATATTTAAACACACTGAATATTACTTTTTATTTTATTTGGCTGAGGTAAGTAGGCTTTGAGATGAAAAAAAAAATGCTTGAAAGTTTTCGAAGTTCCAAGTTTTATCTTTTTATCGTTTATATTAGTTATTATTTTTACTTTTATATTTTTGTTTTGTTTTCTATTTTCCTCCATATTTGTGAATTTCAAAGTTATGTTTATTAAATTTTAAATTTGTCTGGATTTTTATCTGGATTTTTTTTGTATACTTGTATTGTAACTTCAATAAATATTTTTATGAAGGATAAATATTTTACTTGGTTACATATTATTAGCTTATTATTAAGTTGATAAACAAGTTTATTATTGATTACAACAGTGTTATTATTGAAAGACCTCTAGTAATGCAAAGACAGGTACTACTGAGAATCAAATGTGTAAACAGCTACAAAAAAGTAATTTAGGAATTATAATTAGTATATTCAAACAGCTATTTGTTACAATAAATAAGTAATGAACTAAAGTGTTCACAAGTTTTCTATTTTTACAGATTTAAATGTTTTATATTATTAATTTTTTATACAAATGTTGGTGACATCTTAAAAAACTGTTTCTCTCATTTATATTCATTAATATCCATTTATATGTTGCATGTTCAAAAACCAAAACAATTTGTAAGGTTGTTTTTCAAAGTTGATAAAAATCTGGTTAGGTATCAGATATACTTTGTATGAGGTTATAGTAATCTGATATTAGGTATTAGCTTAAAGAATGTACAAGCAACAAATTTTTTGGCTTCATTTTATTTCTGAAAATCCTTTTGCATTTTGATTATATGTCAATTTTTATATAACCTTCATAAAAAAGATAAGATATTCAAAATTTAGTTTTATTTATATTAGTTTTTGAAAATATTACCTGTAAAAAATATCAATAAAATGGCATCTTTCCTTTGTTATGCTATTTCTTTTTTTTAATAAATTAAGGTGTAGATATATATAGTAGTTCTATTGGTTAAGGTTAAGTTATTATATTGGTTTAAGAATAAATTATTCTATTAGTTTAAGATTAAGTTGGGGTTACCTATTTAATCCACAATACATCTAAAGCTTGGCTGTTCAAAAAGCTATGCAAATTACAGTGTGTGTAGATTTATAAAATAGAATTTACAAATTGGATGAAAATAGAACATGTATGATAAATTGATAGGACAGTAGTAAAATTTTATTTTTGTTTTTTAGGTATTGGGCAGGCTGTACCTGACGTCTTACTTTCTTGCAACGAAATCAAAAGAACTACAAACCAATTAAATTAATTTTTATAGCAGTATTTTCTTTGAAGAATTTTCCCTTTATTTTATTTACTAATTACTTTATTTTATAATTTCTTTAAATTATTTTTGGATATTTTTGGATTTAAATTTTGGTGTTATACACAATTTTAAGTTTAAAATATTATTACATATAGATTCTTAGACTTTTAATAATTAATTTTTATTCAGAAGTACAATTATAATTGGAGTGTCTAGTTTTTGTAATATTTTTTCTGCAAATATCAATTTGATATTATGTTATCAATGTGAAAGTATAACCTCAAGATATAATTTTAAAAATGGTAGGATGAGGTACATAAACATACGCTTTGTTTTCTTATAACTAAAATTCAAGTTTAGCGCAAAATGTCTGTACCGATAGAAACCACTCGCAAAATCTTTTGATATTGATTAGTCTTTTAAAATTTTCTGTTATTTTTACATGGTTTCTACTTACTATGACAGTAAGTGTGAAAACACGCGCAAACTGGCAATCGGGAGATTTTTAAACAAAAGTTAACGCCGTGTAAACTGTTAAAAATTGATCGCGCTGTAGATATAACTTGCTTTAACAACCCAAAAACGTCCGTTTAAAGCATAATTACAGATAGTTTTTATAAACGTTATAACATGTCAAAAATCAATCAAACAAATTGAATAATTTCGTAATAAAGGTCCAGTAATAAATTTCATATATGAAATTTCGTAATAAATTTCATAAAAAATTGTGCACGAACTCAGTTTGACATTTTTTATTAAGTCTTAAGTAACTTGAGGCATTTTATTATGAAAAATAAAATTCAAAAACATTCCAAATTTATTTTGGTCGATTACAAATTATTTATAAATTGACTCATTTCATTCGCTAATCTCTTGTCTGATTGGAAGCCTGATATCTTGGAAGGCGGCAGTGCTAATAACTTCAAATTTTGAACATTTTGCCCCAACGCTTTAAATTTTTAATATTTTATTGACACAATGCGATTGATTGTATTGATTGATTAGTATTGAATTGAACAATGAAAAAATTCATAAGTCAATTTAAAATAAACATTAAACCGTCGTCCATTTTTACTGTTCTGCATTTAAAGTTTTTAATTTATTACTGCGTTTGATCTTCTTAATTAATCCAAATTGTTTTTAAAATATTTAGAGAATAGGTTATTATTTTTTCATAATATAACAAATAAAAAAAATTAAAAAAATTAGGTTTATAAGAATCAACAATGCAAATGGACTTAAGATAATCTTTAAACTATATAAAATATGACAATCTTAAGTCCGTTTTGCTATTTTGCAATCTTAAGTCCGTTTTTCTGAGAAAAAGACATTTAAATTTAACTGCTTCGAATTTTTTTTATTAAATTCATTTGTTTTTAGTTATTTATTATGTGTTAAGTATTTTAAACTAAAAAAAATTCAGTTTATATTTCGTTGCTGCAAAACAAAACCATTAAAATAATTTTGTTTTGCAGCGACAAAATCTAAACTTTATAGTATTATATTTCAAGACGTATTTAAAACTAACTAAAAATTTAGTCCAATAAAATAAAAGGAAAAAAAAACGAAATAACTTTTTAATTTATTTGTTATTTTGAAGCTATTTAGAATTTCGAATATTTAACATTTTACCGTAACAAAAAAAAAAAAAAAAAAATAGTTTATTTCTGTATTTTTAATACTACATACACCAGGTGTATGCAAAATGGTTTACTCTCGCACTTCTGCTGTAGCCTATTCCTCTTGCTCCGCACGAATGTGGCCCATAATTTTGAAAATGAGGCTGGTCAACATCGACTTTGGGCCCGGGGTGGCTAGGCTGCCAACGTATGAAATCTTGTCTTGTTAATCCTATAAAATAATTGATAAAAGATTTTGATAAAACCGAAAATAAAATATAAAAATAATAATAAAGCTTTTAAATCAAATAAGTATACTTTGTGGTTGATTGCATGGATTTGATGCTAACGGTTCTACATACAAAATTAGAGAAGATATTACTTTTTCTATACGTCAATAAATATTGTTGTGGATATATATTATAAAGAAGATACTACACATCCACTGCATAAAGATGGATGGTAAACGGGACAAATACTGAGTTAATATTCAAAATATTATTTCGAATATATAAAATATAGAATGTTATAAACAACACATTCCAAAAACTTTGAAAAAAATTGAAAAATGAGTTAAGAAATTTAAAAATATAATAACATCTGTTCAACAACATCTGTAATTCCTTTGGTCTAATAACATCTGTGCAAAAATTAAAAGAATATTACAGATGTGGCTATATCTATTAAATTACCTAATTAAAGTGTAATAACATCTGTGCAGCTACACCTGTAAGTTCTACAGATATAGTTACATCTTTTAAATTACTAAAATGTAATAATATCTGTGCAACAACATCTGTGATGTAATGAAGTTATTTTTAAGATTTATTTTTAAGAATTAACTAATAATGCATTACTTTAACCAGATGTAGCTATGTGTAAACAATTTTTCAGATGTAATTAGATTGGGGAAAAAAATATAAACTAACAATCCATTATTGTAACCAGAGGTTATTACATATAGAGGTTTTTTTGATGTAACAGCATCTGGAAAAAAATATTAACTAATAATGCATTATTTTAACCAGATGTTGTTATATATAGAAATTTTTTAAAATGTAACTACATCTAGAGAAAATTCTTCCAGATGTTATTTATTGGACACAGAGATGTAGCTACATCTTTCTAAAGATGTTGTTGGGGGTAGTTGAATTTTCAGATGATATTAAAGTAAAAGGTAAATACAGATGATCTTGGCAAAAGTGTACAGACAACTTGGACTACTCCACAGATGTTGTTGGACAGATGTAGTAATCTTTTACCTTAAATGTATTATACAAGTGTATCAACCCAATTAAAAACTGGGTTGGTACACTTAGCTTTAAAAGAATCTCATTTTGTTAAAAAATATTGTCCTTTAGGAAATTTAATAAATTTTGAAAGTATCAATTTTTTTTGTTTGATGCGAAACTTAATAATTTACAGGTATTTTTTTTATATTCTCGAACTCCTTCTTCATCTATTAGGCTGGCGTAGATGTAACCTGTGATACATTGTTTCCTGCCTAGGATGATGAATGCTGGATCTCCTTGACTCTACTCATAGAATTTTGCTTATGCCTCCTTGATAATGGCTATGCAACTCTTCCTGTTATCTCCATATGATGGCACATCTCTAAAACTCAGTTTAATGGTTCTGAGGCCGGCTGGTAGTAAGGTTTCCCGAACTCTGTGGTAGGTCTCAGAGAGGCTGACTCCATCAACAGCAGCAAAATATCAGAGTATTAACAGTGCCATGTTGCGCATGGATGGTGTCCCTGTTAATGCTTTTGGTGTGCATTGTCAAGGCCACATAAGGAGCTCTATGTCACGGCTTAGGGTTAATTAACAGAACTGAGACAACTGCATAGCTTATTGATTAGGAGGCTGTGCTCTATCTATGAATAAGTCAAGTTCTCGTTAAACTCGAATCATGACCAAAGCAACCAAAAATTTATAACCTAAAAACCAAAATTATTTAATATATCTTTTACAATTATTCGCGGTCTGCAAAGAAACATTCTGTCAGCTGAGTTTTACCTCCTGCAAAATTCACCAGACTTGCTTGCACTTAGTAAAACAAATTTAAATTCTGCAATTCCTTCTTCAGATGTCAGTGTTGATGGGTACTATCCTTTGATTTGTAAAGACTCCAATAGTCACATGCTAGGTTTAGGGGTATACATACGCATTAATTCCCCTATTTAACAAGATATCAGGTTAGAATCCTTTGACCATTCTTTTATGTGCTTTCGCCTAGCACCTCTTCACTCTATCACCTTTCTCTTTGTTCTTTATCGTTTTCCTTCTTACCATGATTGCACTCTTTTAGATGTTATCTCTGATCAAATTGACCATGCTCTCTTTCTTTACCCCTCTGCCAATATTGTTGTTGTTGGTGATTTTAATGCCCATCACACTGAAGGGCTTGGCTCTAATACCACTGATCCTGCTGACACTAAAGTCTTTAACTTCTGCGTTTCTCAATATCTTACTCAGATAGTTAACTTTGTGACTCGTTTTCCTGACAACCCTAATCATTTACCTTCACTCTATGACTTATGTCTTGTCTCTGACCCTAGCTTAGGTTCTGTTTCTCCCTTTTCTCCCTTAGGTGGTTCTGACCATGCAATGATCTCTATAAATCTTTTTTCTCATACTTCTTTTTTGGGCTCACCTTATCATCGCACCACCTACTACTACCCTAAAGCTGACTAGGATTCTTTTTGTGATTTTCTTTGTGATAGTCCTTGGGCGAATGTTTTTTCTCTCTCAGCTGATAAATGCGCCTCCTACATAACCTCCTGGATTCAGGCTGGAATGGAAGCTTTTATTCCTTCTCGTCGGTTTCAAGTCAAACCTCATTCTACTCCATGGTTTTCTCCTTCTTGTGCTATATCCAATCGTAATCATTTTTTTCATCTTTTTCAAAAGAACAACTCTTTTGAGAACAAACAGCTATTTATTATTGCAAGAAATCGATGTAAAAAGCTTTCTGATGCTAAACTCCATTATTCTCAGTTCACTAAATCTCGCATCTTATCACAGAAGTTAGGCTCTAAAGACTTTTGGAAAATCTTCAACAGCATTAATAACAAGGGTAGATCTAACATTTCATCTCTCATTCATGGGACTGATCTTATTACCTCTCCCAAGGATAAGGCAGAACTATTTGCAAAGAACTTTTCTTCTAATTCCACTCTTGAATCTTATGGACATTCTCTTCCTTCCATTCCAGTCAAACAGGTTGACCCATTGTTAGACATTCAAATCACTCCGGCTTCTGTTGCTAAAGTCATATCTCAATTAAACTCGTCTACAGCTTGTGGTCCAGACAACATTCCTGTCACAGTCTTGCAGAATTGTTCTCCAGAACTTTCTTCAATTCTCTCTAAACTATTTAACAAGTGTTTGACTGAGTCTTGTTTTTCTGCTTGTTGGAAAATGGCATCTGTGGTTCCAATATTCAAAAACTCTGGAGAAAATTCTGACCCCTCCAATTATCGACCGATCAGTCTTCTTTCTGTTATTAGCAAGGTCTTTGAGTCTTTGATCAACAAACTCCTCACATCTCATCTTGAGTCAAATAAACTACTGTCAGACAATCAATACGGTATTTGATCCTCTCGCTCTATGGCCGACTTGCTAACTGCTGTAACTGAAAGATTTTATCGTACATTAGATGGAGGCAGTGAGGCTAGGGCTATTGCTCTCGACATATCTAAAGCTTTCGATAAAGTTTGGCATGCTGGTCTTCTCCATAAGCTTGCTTCATATGGTGTTTCTGGGAAAGTTTTTGAGACTATCAAATCATTTCTTTCTAACCGGTTTATTAGAGTCATCCTTGAAAGCCAACACTCTTCTTTATTTCCTGTAACTTCTGGGGTTCTCCAAGGCTCCATCCTGGGCCCTGTTTTGTTTCTTATCTACATAAATGATCTTCCTGACAACCTTTCATCTAAAGTAGCTCTTTTTGCTGATAACTCAACTTTATACTCCTGTCTTGGCAAAAAGTCTTCTCTTTTCGATCGCCTAGAACAAGCAGCTGATCTTGAATCCAATATCACTTCAGTAATAGATTGGGGTTCACAGTGTCTTGTGAATTTCAACTCTAACAAAACCCAGTTGTTTACTGCAAACAACTACCGTAATATGGTCAACATTCCTATATTAATGAATGGCAATCCTCTTACTGAGTCCTCCACTTTACGTCTTCTTGGATTATTGCTTACTACTGACCTTTCATGGAAACCATATATACATACCATATATCTGCTAAGGTTGCATCTCTTTATCGTGCTCGCCATTTCCTTACTTCTGACTCCATTCTCTACCTCTACAAATCTCTTATTTGCCCCTGTATGGAATACTGTTGTCATATTTAAGCTGGTTCTTCTAACGATTCACTTTCAAAAACAATCAGCAAAATATAAACACCGAAGAGTTACTTTTTAGTGATATGAAATTATCAGAGAAAAACATAGTATTTGTATTGGATGAAGTACATGATTTAATAGATTTATGCCGGGGTTATTCTTTTCATCGAAGTACTGCAAACAACTTATCAGGAGAAGAAAGCTTAAAGTTTTGGTATGAAGAACAGTCAAACAAAATGCCACACCCTGACAAAAAGCACTGCACTGATTTATTTTATCAGTTAAGGCATATAATGCTAATTAGTTTGAGTAATCAAAATCTTTTTGGGTTTGTTATGTGCTCAACTGAGTATCGTACATGGGAACATTTTGAAGTTGAAAATTCTCCATTTTCACGAGGTATGTTTGAAAAATTTTTTAACCTTCACGATTTTACAAAAGAGCAAGTTTTAAATTTACTTTTGGATTTTTTTAATATTGAAGTATCCTTAAATGATTGTGAAATAGATCAAATTTGTAGTTATTTAGTTCGACCTTATTATGTTGCAAAGTTTATGGAAACATTGTTTATTGTCCCATTTGATGATAATGCCAACAGTTGGCTTTTAAAAGCTTTTAAAATTGCAAAAGATAATTGTCTTGAGACAGCAATTACAAAAATTAAAATGCTTGGTAACAGTAATTAAAGTGCAGGTACTTACACATCAAGAGGAATGATTAATTTTTTGTATACAGTCCTGCGTTTGTGCGGTGGTACTTATCAAGTATGTGAGGGTAATGAAATTGATGAGTTTGCAAGATTAATTCGAATTGGAGTAGCAAAGATTAATGATACTGCTAATCGTTTTAGGCTTAATGATCCTATTTATATTGAAGCTCTAAATCATTTATTTTTAAAAAAAGCAGGCATTATGATGCAGGTACTTGCTAATAAGCAAGGCTTTAATAATGCTCTTACATCTCAAGATAAGTCATCTAAAGGATTTTTGACTGAAAGAGCCCTCAGTGCTGTTATACTAGAATCAAAAAAACCTTATCCAACAGATGCTTATAATGCTGGAACCACTGAGGAGTTGTTTTATGTCAATATTGAAAAAGTATCGGAAGCAGAGTTTTTATTGCAGGTTGCTTCTGGAAAAAAGAATTTTATATTGCTTCCCATATCTTGTGCTGGACCTGATATATGGTACCGTACAAACAAAACTGAGAGTCCTGGAGTTGTGGCAATACAATCCAAATGTTACAATCAATCTCTCACTCTGATAGAATTCAAAAATGCTCTCCAGTCTCTGAATCCTGAAAAGATGTTTTCTTCAAATAATGTTCCTAAGGCATCAAAGGAGTATTGGAAGAGTTCAGTCCATACTCTTTCTCAGTTAAATTACTATCGCTGTATTTTCTCTGCTGCTGGATTTACTGAAAATGTTTATTATTTAGTTTCAGAATACAACCAAAAATATCCAAATTACTTTATATACTTGTATCACCTTGATGATGTGAAAAGTGAGTTTGGAGAATATTATAATATTTTGAAAACTGGTATTAACATAAAAAAAAAACCTGATGATGTTAATACAATAACTCAAGATAATTGGAATATGTTGACTGATAGTAAAAAACGTAAGATAAAAAATGATACTCTTGATTGTTATTGTAAAGAACGTGGTATTGCGCTGAGTTCTGTTAATGGTGGAAAGAAAAAAAGAAGAAATAAAGAAGAACTTGTTAAGTCAATAGATAATTTTAATTTAGAAATTGCAATCAATGAGCTAGGGCCAAAGTTTGTAATAAATGATGAGAACTAAATTCTTTATTTACTTTTATAGACTATAAATTATTTTATTTTATAGGCCAAATTTTAAGATGAGTCAATTGATTTTATAGACTATAATTATCAAAATGAATTGAACTGATTATCGAGAAACAGGTTAATTTTAAAATATCAACATGTGACAATAAAGAATTTTGAAGAAAAATTTTTAATCAATATACTATTTATTTACTCATTTTATTTTTGTAACAATTATAGCCAATTACAATCAAACAACACGTGTGCTCTGTGTGTGTGTGTTTGTGTGTGTGTAATGGTATATAATCTTGTATTCTTGTTTAGGTTTAATGCAGCAAATTATTGTTTCACCTCAAAATGAAAAACCTCATCAAGTTTTAAGATTATATATATATATGTATATATATACATATATATATATATATATATATATATATATATATATATATATATATATATATATATATATATATACATGTATTTATATATATATATATATATATATATATATATATATATATATATATATATATATATATATATATATATATATATATATATATATATATATATATATATATATACATATATATATATATATATACATATATATATATATATATATATATATATATATATATACATATATACATATATATATATATATATATATATATATATATATATATATATATATATATATATATATATATATATATATATATATATATATATATATATATATATATATATATATATATATATATATATATATATATATATATAAGTAGGAATAAATTTGATACAGCGTTTTGTTGAAATAGGGAATTTTTCATAATGTTTTCTTATCTCCCTCCTCGCCCCAAATTTAAAATGTGCTCCAGGAATGTATGGGGTCCTTTTCTTATCTTCTTTCTTCTTCTACTTCACCTTTGCTCTGCGTACATTGATTAGACAAAATGAAATATAAAAAAAACTTCCCGTGTTATTATAAATTGGTTTTACAACAACACGGCAATTTTAACTCCGATTTATAAAGATATATTAGGAGTTATATATATTTTTAAATTATTTTATTCAGTGTAATCAGTGAATTGCATTTTAGATTTTTTTTTAATCTTAATATATGAGTGTCATATTAAGAGTATTCTTTTAAATATATATTTCTTTTTCACTAGTACCGCCAGTAAAAAAGAAATATATATTCAAAAGTTGTGCAAGAGCGTAGTTTTACCAATAGTAGGGAATTTTATCACGTGATATTTTATCGCGAAAAAAAAATACTTCGTTCGTTTACGAAAAATTTTGTCAAGAAATGATTTTACGTAGGTGTCAAAGAATAAAAACCCACCCGTGAAAATTAATAGTATATAAGTATATATAGATGTTTTTTTTTTTTTTTAGAAAAGAATGTACTACAATAATTTGTTTGGGGACGACATTATGCTTGAGAATTGATAAAGTTATTCAAGTTTAAATATTTCAATTTTGCTTAAATACAAGTAAATTAAAATAATTCTTTCATCCCCACATAGAAATAGATTCTACAAGTACTTATTTATTAGGAGAATAAGTTTTGTATTTTTTTTTTTTTTTTTTTTGATGTTTAATAGGGTGGGTTTTTTATTTTCTAAGTAGAGTTTTTTTAAATTTCCCCCGTCTTTAGATATTTTTGAGTGCAATCAAAACTTGATAAGGTAAATTTGCCGTTTCTTTTTAATGTCCAAAGATTTTTTGCACACATTGAATTTAATTTCTTATATAGCTGAAATTTTATTAGAAATTTTTACTTACAGCATTCTAAAGTAAGTTTATTTTTTGTTTTTGATGTTGTTACTAACCGATCATTAATTTAATTACAACTGTTTATTAGTAAGTACTTATAACTCATATACTATATATACATATATATGTATATATATATTATATTAATAAATATATATACAGATATATATAAAGATATATATATATATATATATATATATATATATATATATATATATATATATATATATATATATATATATATATATATATATCCCAGACAGCAAGGATATAGTGGTTCCGCACTGGTCCTGTATAGGCTGCCGCGCTGGACCGGCTTCGGCTGCCAACGCTGACGAAGCTCTAAGAATTTTTCATAGACCAGCCGTGGCTAGTCAGCGATGGCAAAACAGCGGCTAGCCAATGCGGGACAAGAACTGGCAGAACAACTATTAGCCATTTTTACATACGTATTTTAAAGTACCATCGTGATTTTGTCTTTGCTAACTAACTGGGCTGCACATGGGATTGTTATGGATTTTCATCGGGCAATCCTATTTGAAGTCCCTATATTCTTCTTTTAGACCCCGTCTTCTTAATTATTTAGTTGTTTTTAGCAAAATCGTTATTAATTTTTTTGGTTTAAAGTTGGCGTATTTTTCATTAGTTTAAGGACAATAAAATGTATTAAACACATGATTATTAACACTTTTAATTAATATGAATAAATTTGAAAAAAAGGCTTTAATTTTAAAATATATTTACGCAATTATAATACAAAAATTTGATTCATAACCATTCGACAATGGTGCTTTTCTGCGATTCATGTCCAATCGTCAACATGATTCGTTATAAGATTATGCTTCAATTTGTGACGTTATTGTCTTCTTCAGTGCTTGGATACGTTTTAACTTTAATATTGTCTTCTTTAGTGCTTAAATCCGTTTTAACTTAAATAAAATATAAACAAACATTAGCACAACTTAATAATTAATTACATATAAATTTCTACAATATAGTAATAACATATATAAAAAATCGTCACAACTTATAAACAACATGTTTATCATGTTACAATAACAATTATTTTTATTATTGACTAAAAAGTTCCATCCATTAACAACAAACCATAGTTACATAAATTTGAGTTAAAGTCCTTTTTATAACTTTGTGAACTAAAATACAATGAATATCACAATGAAAATTTACAATTACAACCAAATGCAGGACACTTACAAATATATTTATTAAAACATGTGGCACTTGGATTACAGCTGCATAAACAAAAAGCTTCCTCAAATATTTAATAAATGGTTTTTCTTTACAGTGCAATTAGCTGTCAACTCACAAAAAAATCCTGTAGAGGTGCACTGAGCGTGTAAACATATAATACAAAATCCTACGGTAAACATTCCTTTAAATACTCTGCATTAATGGACTGGAATTAACTTCAAAATAAATCAAAAACAATCCCTTTTTACAACATTAAAAAATATGTCCTCAAAACTAAATTAAAACAATAATTGTTAGATCAATGAATTTACAGTGAGTCCTAGTGACGAAGGTTCAGAAGAATCGAATTCAGTCTCAGAGTTGGATACTTTAACAAAAGCAACTGAAAATGAGAATGATAGAAATTTTAATAACTTTAAGCGTGTAGGGTTTGTGTAGGGTTTTGTAAAAAATGTTTAAAATGTTGCTATAGTATTCTATACAAATATTCGTTAAATGCAACTGCTTATTCAAATCTGTTTCTGACTTACGAATATCTATTAACACTTTCATTCTCACAAGTAAGCTGTGAACGGTCATTTAGTAAATTAAAAATTGTCAAAACTAGGCTGCGTTCATCATTATGTAGTGACAAGCTTGAAACATTTATGTTGATGTCGACCGCGAAGGACATTTTGGATTCAATTGCAGTTGAGGACGTAATTGCTTATTTGTGTAAGGATTCCGTAGAGTTATCAAAGGTGTTTCTTCTATAAATTACATTAGGAGATAGTAGTCAGTTACAGTGTACACTGCAAAAAATGAATTCTTATTTTAAGAAAAAAATTGCTTACCATACTGACAAGTAAAAATTTGCTTGTTTTAAGTGAAAAACAAGTTTTTTTTGTGCTTAAAACAAGTTTTTTTTGCTTAAAATAAAAATTCATTTTTTACAGTGTAAATACCGGATAAAGCACAGGGTCTATTTCTTATTTATATTTTATTTTAAATGATTTAAAAAGAGGTTTATTATTCATTTATCATAATAAATTCTTCGTGTTATTATTATTATTATTGTTATTATTGCTGTTATTGTTATTATTATTGTTATTATCATTGTCTACATAATTATCATGTATATTTCATACATAAGTAAAATGACATACTAAATTATAATGTAAGTCTGAATGAACCTTGAACTTTGAAAGTGTAACATTATTTTACCTATTCATATTCAAATTAAAAAGACCTTTATATAAACACTAGCCTATTTTCTACCCCTATCCAACCTTATAGCGCCCCTCCCTCTTTCCTTCCCGGTAGGATTTGAAACCCCAGTCCGCGCCTGACCAGCGACATACTGCTAAACTGATACTAATACTCTTTAACTAATACTCTTCAACAACAATACTCTACAAACTAATACTCTTCAACTGAGTAATTATAGACTGGTAATTTAATTATATAGTTTTGAAAAATTTAAAAATATTATTATTTTAGTTTTTTAAGTTTATACCGGACGTAAACAAGGCTTATTTATTTAACGATAGATTTAACCTACCTAACGGAAGCTTTACACCGTATTTGCGCATGCGTTACGCTTGCGCAGAACTGACTGTCTAAATTTTTTTAGAAATTTTCTTAAAAAATTTTTTTATAGAAATTTTCATAGAAAAGACATCATAAAAGAGTTTGAAATATAATTAAATTAAAACTTCTATTATGGGTGTAACTCTTTATTAATTTTTATACAATATTTCAAGGGATTATTGATACCCTCGTTGTCAAGTTGTTTTGTTAAAGCAAAAACTATTCAAAAACACCTTGTTTTGTTTTAAAATTTAATGAAACAACAGTCTAGTTTCACAGTAATTTATTATTGCTAAAATAATATAACATTTTTTCATAACACCTTTATATTATTTAATTATATTTAATTATATTTACCCATACTACCAACTGACTGTCTACTTATTTAACGATCTACTTATTTAACGCGATCTAATATTCTTCTACAGACACCAGGCATAAAACCAGTTTTTAGAGGTGTATTTTTCTACACTTTACTTTTCATCGATGAGTATGGAAGTCAAACCGAAAATATGTTTTGATGGGAGTTTTCTCGATTTAGTTAAATATAGTACTATGTTTATTGATAAATCCTTATTTATTAAAGAAATTCATGAAGATTATCCTAAAGTCATATAGACGGGTTTGAATTGTTTTAATTTTGTCCGTTAATGTACGCATGCGCATTATTTGGCAGTCAAAAAACTTTGTTGTTTATCTATTTTTTAGTGGATTTCGTATAAAACTTTTGAAGATGTGTTCGAATTCTTCGTATTTTAATACACTAAACAAAAGTGATCAACTAGATTACAAGAAAAAATTGACATTAGAAAATAAGGAAACGTTGCCAGACCCGTATTCAATCAATAAACCTTATTGGAGTACATATTTGACAAAAATACCATGGGACAAAATATCTTGGGGTGACGTTTATAATTACCTTATCAATTCTACAAGTGAGTACACCCATGAAAAGCTTAAAGCTTTTAAGTCTCTTGAGGCCTATAACTTTTTTGTGTGTGGGCATGTTGATGACATTTATTACTATGAAGTTTCGAAAGATTGTGAATTCTGCTTTTTAAAATCAAAGGTTAAAAAATAAATTTTAATGCATTTCAATTTTATATATATATATATATATATATATATATATATATATATATATATATATATATATATATATATATATATATATATATATATATATATATATATATATATATATATATATATATATATATAGGATACACAAATACACAATCAGGATATACACATAGAACATTACATTTTTATTTTTAGGTTTTTCCAAGTCAAAGGCAAGGACAAAATCAAAAACTATACAGTGTTTGGGTTGTTCTTCATAAAAAAATTGGATATATTTTAACTGGCAATTGGCAATAATGCATGGCAGGGTAGGCATTGAATTAATAATTAAACCATTAATTGTGTGTGTGTGTATATATATATATATATATATATATATATATATATATATATATATATATATATATATATATATATATATATATATATATATATATATATATATATATATATATATATATATATATATATATTGAGAGAGAGTTTAAACATGGCATAGTTTATTAATGTTATTTAGACATATACTTTGAATACTATATAAATAAAATAAAGTATATTGAAACTTTGTTTCTCATTTCCATATTTTATTTTTAGTCTGGGATCTGTATGCAGCCATGTGGCTGCATTGCTGTTTAAGATCGAAGCATGCATTCGAACTGAAGTTCATAAGACTGTGGTGACTAGTAAATTGTGTCAATGGAACCAAATAAAAAGAAAAGCAGAAGCATCATCATTGCAAAATATATCTTTTAATAGACCAAAACTTAAAGATTTACCAATTGAAAGGACATTGTCTAACAGTAATAGTGATAATTATACTGTCAATGCAGAACAATCCATTATAAATTTAGGTTTAGATAAAGTCATAGAACTGCAAAAAATTATGCCTAAAGCAGCTTATTTTAACTATGTAAATGTCTTGGAACTTTCCTATGATACTGAGGGTACTTTAACATCTGATGAGAATGAAAAAAATCTATGTTCAGAACCTCTTACTAGTCTATTTGATTATGAAGCAATCAATTTAGATAGTGCCACTCTCAAAGATATATGTAATTTAAGGTATGAAGAATACATATCAACTTACACTTCAAAATCATTTAATTTTTTATCTGAAAATACTAAACTGCAAAGTTTATCTAATGCATGGAATATTCACAGAGCAGGCAGAATTACAGCATCTAGTTTTTATGAAGTTATGCATTTTAAATATAAAAACTCAAGTAACTCGTTGCTTAATAAGTTAATGTGTTATACCAAAGCACCAAACACACCTTCTTTAACTTACGGCAGAGAAATGAAATGCAAAGCCAGGGAACACTATCAAACTATTATGAAAGAAAAACACAATGATTTTCAAGTGACAGCTACTGGCCTTCATATTTTATACAATAAGCCATATCTAGGAGCGTCCCCTGATTCTATAGTGAGCTGCTCTTGCCACAGTGATGGTTTGCTTGAAATTAAATGTCCATTTAATTATCGAAATGGTTTAGTTAACTGGGAAATGGATTATAATTTCCCTATTGACTCATCTGGAACCATGAAGAAAAATCACAAATATTATGCACAAGTTCAAGGTCAATTATATGTTCTAAATAAAGAATATTGTGATTTTTTTGTCTGGGCTCCAAATCATTATTTATTAATTCGAGTTACTAAAGACTTAGAGTTTATTGATGAAATGATGCCTTTGCTCTGGAAATATTTCATTGAATGTTTACTACCTGAAGTTGTTACACGCAAAAATGATGTATGTTTAGACAATAAGCAAAAGTATTACTGTACTTGTAAAAGACCCTGTTTTGAACCAATGATAGCTTGTGATAAACCAGGTTGTAAAGTTGAATGGTTTCTTTATTCTTGTGTGAAAATTACACGGGCTCCAGTTGGTCCATGGATATGCAACAGTTGCTCAAAATGAAATTATATTCAATATGATTCTGCATTTTAACACTGTTACTTTGCTGTTTGTAAATCTGTACTCCAATAAGGTTTATCGATTGACTACGGTTCCGGCAACGTTTCACTATTTGCTAATGTCATTCATCTTGTAATCTAGATGATCACTGCTGTTTAGTTAGTTAAAAAAGAAAAGTTTTAAAAACGGTTATTTTCATAGCCACATGTTGTTAAAATCATTATTCTGCATTTGAATTTTCATTTTTTTAAAACGATTTATTTGAATAATTAGATAAATTGTTTACCATAGTTTTTAAATACCTTAACATATGTTACTTTTTTTTTTCTAATTAATTAAATTTAGTTTTAGTTTTTCTTTCAACCAATCTTTGTTTGAAATGAGTAAAAGAAGTTTATAGGATACCATATGTACTCTTTATATATCTTTATTCCTGATTTAATAACGCAAACACTTAGTAAATTAAATCAACCTTTACGTTTATTCAATTTCATAAAGCTGCTATATGATTTTGACAACAGTTTTATTTTTGTTGACTCAATTATAATAATATTGAGATTTTGTGCCAGGTTTTCATTAGTATTTTATTAAAAATAAAACAAGTATGCCAGATGTTTGTTGCGCATTTGGTTGCAGCAACCGAAGAGGCACACAAAATGAAGGTTTAAGTTTTATTTGCATACCTACAATGGAAACAGAGCAAAAATCTCAACTTAGATTAAGATGGATTACCGCAATTAGACGAGAAAAATGGTCAGAAACTGCAATTAAGAGTGCTCGGATATGTAGTTCCCACTTTATAACAGGTTGATATCTTTTAAATTTTGGATTTTTACTAATCCAATTAAATATCGCATTTAGTTACTACTTTGCACACTTTCATGTCACCTGATGTGTGTTACTTATTTAGATATTTAGAAGCGAAAATTTAATTTTTTTTATACAAAAGAAATTTCATATGTTGTTTATTCTCACCATACAATATATAATGCGTATGAAAGAACTTACGTGCTTTGTATGTTTTTAATACTAACATTTAATATTCTATTGCATTTTCTATTATTAGGAAAGAAATCTAATGATCCCCCCTTCATGTAGACTATGTACCATCAGTATTTTCATTCCATAAAATTGCTGAAAGGAGATCAAAAGCATCTGTTGAACGATATCGGCGTTGTCTTCAACGTGGTTCTAATAAACAGAAAAATAATGCCACTAATTATAACACAAAGAAACCTGTCAATGTAAATAATTGTAAAAATGTATTATCCGAATCAAGTTCATCAGAAATAACGATTGATTGCCAAGAACCAAGGCGTACTTAAATAACAGGCCTTCTCATCGCGCAACGGCTTGAAAAATGTGGAGGCTGATTTGGTTTTGATGCTCTCAACTATTAAACAATTTTTTTTTTAAGTTTTAAATATTTAAAAATTCTTTTAACAATATAGTAGGAGCTTGTGATTGGACATGAATCGCAGAAAAGCACCATTGTCGAATGGTTATGAATCAAATTTTTGTATTATAATTGCGTAAATATATTTTAAAATTAAAGCCTTTTTTTCAAATTTATTCATATTAATTAAAAGTGTTAATAATCATGTGTTTAATACATTTTATTGTCCTTAAACTAATGAAAAATACGCCAATTTTAAACCAAAAAAATTAATAACGATTTTGCTAAAAACAACTAAATAATTAAGAAGACGGGGTCTAAAAGAAGAATATAGGGACTTCAAATAGGATTGCCCGATGAAAATCCATAACAATCCCATGTGCAGCCCAGTTAGTTAGCAAAGACAAAATCACGATGGTACTTTAAAATACGTATGTAAAAATGGCTAATAGTTGTTCTGCCAGTTCTTGTCCCGCATTGGCTAGCCGCTGTTTTGCCATCGCTGACTAGCCACGGCTGGTTTATGAAAAATCCTTAGAGCTTCGTCAGCGTTGGCAGCCGAAGCCGGTCCAGCGCGGCAGCCTATACAGGACCAGTGCGGAACCACTATATCCTTGCTGTCTGGGATATATATATATATATATATCTTTATATATATCTATATATATATTTATTAATATAATATATATACATATATATGTATATATAGTATATGAGTTATAAGTACTTACTAATAAACAGTTGTAATTAAATTAATGATCGGTTAGTAACAACATCAAAAACAAAAAATAAACTTACTTTAGAATGCTGTAAGTAAAAATTTCTAATAAAATTTCAGCTATATAAGAAATTAAATTCAATGTGTGCAAAAAATCTTTGGACATTAAAAAGAAACGGCAAATTTACCTTATCAAGTTTTGATTGCACTCAAAAATATCTAAAGACGGGGGAAATTTAAAAAAACTCTACTTAGAAAATAAAAAACCCACCCTATTAAACATCAAAAAAAAAAAAAAAAAAAATACAAAACTTATTCTCCTAATAAATAAGTACTTGTAGAATCTATTTCTATGTGGGGATGAAAGAATTATTTTAATTTACTTGTATTTAAGCAAAATTGAAATATTTAAACTTGAATAACTTTATCAATTCTCAAGCATAATGTCGTCCCCAAACAAATTATTGTAGTACATTCTTTTCTAAAAAAAAAAAAAACATCTATATATACTTATATACTATTAATTTTCACGGGTGGGTTTTTATTCTTTGACACCTACGTAAAATCATTTCTTGACAAAATTTTTCGTAAACGAACGAAGTATTTTTTTTTCGCGATAAAATATCACGTGATAAAATTCCCTACTATTGGTAAAACTACGCTCTTGCACAACTTTTGAATATATATTTCTTTTTTACTGGCGGTACTAGTGAAAAAGAAATATATATTTAAAAGAATACTCTTAATATGACACTCATATATTAAGATTAAAAAAAAATCTAAAATGCAATTCACTGATTACACTGAATAAAATAATTTAAAAATATATATAACTCCTAATATATCTTTATAAATCGGAGTTAAAATTGCCGTGTTGTTGTAAAACCAATTTATAATAACACGGGAAGTTTTTTTTATATTTCATTTTGTCTAATCAATGTACGCAGAGCAAAGGTGAAGTAGAAGAAGAAAGAAGATAAGAAAAGGACCCCATACATTCCTGGAGCACATTTTAAATTTGGGGCGAGGAGGGAGATAAGAAAACATTATGAAAAATTCCCTATTTCAACAAAACGCTGTATCAAATTTATTCCTACTTATATATATATATATATATATATATATATATATATATATATATATATATATATATATATATATATATATATATATATATATATATGTATATATGTATATATATATATATATATATATGTATATATATATATATATATGTATATATATATATATATATATATATATATATATATATATATATATAAATACATGTATATATATATATATATATATATATATATATATATATATATATATATATATGTATATATATACATATATATATATAATCTTAAAACTTGATGAGGTTTTTCATTTTGAGGTGAAACAATAATTTGCTGCATTAAACCTAAACAAGAATACAAGATTATATACCATTACACACACACAAACACACACACACAGAGCACACGTGTTGTTTGATTGTAATTGGCTATAATTGTTACAAAAATAAAATGAGTAAATAAATAGTATATTGATTAAAAATTTTTCTTCAAAATTCTTTATTGTCACATGTTGATATTTTAAAATTAACCTGTTTCTCGATAATCAGTTCAATTCATTTTGATAATTATAGTCTATAAAATCAATTGACTCATCTTAAAATTTGGCCTATAAAATAAAATAATTTATAGTCTATAAAAGTAAATAAAGAATTTAGTTCTCATCATTTATTACAAACTTTGGCCCTAGCTCATTGATTGCAATTTCTAAATTAAAATTATCTATTGACTTAACAAGTTCTTCTTTATTTCTTTCCACCATTAACAGAACTCAGCGCAATACCACGTTCTTTACAATAACAATCAAGAGTATCATTTTTTATCTTACGTTTTTTACTATCAGTCAACATATTCCAATTATCTTGAGTTATTGTATTAACATCATCAGGTTTTTTTGCTCTTTTGTAAAATCGTGAAGGTTAAAAAATTTTTCAAACATACCTCGTGAAAATGGAGAATTTTCAACTTCAAAATGTTCCCATGTACGATACTCAGTTGAGCACATAACAAACCCAAAAAGATTTTGATTACTCAAACTAATTAGCATTATATGCCTTAACTGATAAAATAAATCAGTGCAGTGCTTTTTGTCAGGGTGTGGCATTTTGTTTGACTGTTCTTCATACCAAAACTTTATTCTTTCTTCTCCTGATAAGTTGTTTGCAGTACTTCGATGAAGAGAATAACCCCGGCATAAATCTATTAAATCATGTACTTCATCTAATACAAATACTATGTTTTTCTCTGATAATTTCATATCACTAAAAAGTAACTCTTCGGTGTTTATATTTTGCTGATTGTTTTTAAAAAAATGATTAGCCCAATTTATGATCCATTCAGTTAAACATTTTTCACTATTTAACAGCATCAATGCAAAGTAAAAACGATCGATAAAGTTGTTTTTATCAAGAATTCTGTTTTCAACACACGCGTTGAACAATGCAATGTGTCCTCTAAACAAAGATGCAAACAATGCCAGACAATTAAAAGAGAACTTCTCCACATCTTTATAAACTATATTAGTTTTATCAGGTAGTTTTTCCAATAATTCTTTTTGATTTTTTTTTAACCATATAACTAAATCTGAGCTTCGTATTATACGCCAAGGTAAAACGATAAACTCTTTGGATAGCATCAAACTAGTTTTTGTTTTCCCGCATCCATAAGATTGCACAATTGCAAATACTTTTCTATCCTGAACGTCAGTATGCCAACAAAGTAATTTTAATTTTGAAATGAGTTCTTCAACCTTATCTCCTATAACACCTGGATAAGCCATAAATGAAATCGACTCGTAATATTTTGGAATTGATTTTTTAAATATACTGTTAAGAGGTAGAATTTTATCATTTAAAAGCTTTAACTCTTGAAACTTGGAACGTATATTAATCATATCCATGTTGGTTGAGTTAAGAATCACTTATAAAGGCAAGTTTTGTAATAAAATATCACAAGCGCCTAAAATTATTAGGACAGCACTAAAAAGGATGCACTGAAGGTACATTTAAGCTTGTTCTCCATTCAGAACTATTTGCGCTTAGGAGGAACGGAAGAGTTCTTTGAGCATGCGCAAAAAATTCTGATTAGAGAACGGGTTTAAAAAAACTGTTTGCGCATGCTCAAAGAGTTTTTCCGCTTCTCTAAAGCGCAAAAAGTTCTGAATGGAGAACGGGCTTTAGTGTTAATATAAAAACGCAGACCGAAAAAAGTTGAGCGCATGCGTTTATATGCGCTAATGTACCTTCAGTGCATCTTCTCTAGGGTCCTTCAAAAAACGAGTTACGTATTACATATTATATATTACAGTATATTTATTCGTGACATTGAAATAAATGAAAACGATACTCACCAAGATTTTGAGCATGTGTTGAGTAAGATTGTTCTATGCGATTTCTTAAGTTTTTTATTAAATATAAATAAATATATGTATATATACAAATATAATAAATGAATGAAAATGATGCTGAGTATCATTTTTATTCATTCATTATATATGTATCGTATATGTATTATATATGAGTATCATACTCACTAAGGTTTTGAGCATGTGTTCAGTAAGATTGTTCAAAATGACTTTATAAGTTGATTTATATAATAGAATATAATATAATATAATATAATATATATATATATATATATATATATATATATATATATATATATATATATATATATATATGTATATATTATATTGTATACATCTATATATTTTATATAGTATACATCTATATATTTCATATATATATATACATTATATATAAATATATTTATATATATATGTATTATATATATATATATATATATATATATATATATATATATATATATATATATATATATATATATATATATATATATACATATATATATTATATATATATGTATATTATATATATATATATATATATATATATATATATATATGTGGGTAATTCCATGTAAAAGTGGGACAGTCATTTCTGTCACCCCTCAGATTTTCTTTAAATTTTTACCACTGGTACCTATTAATGAAACATGAAAAAATGTAAAGTTTGAGCACCCAAATCCAAACGGTTCAAAAGTTATGACATTTTAAAATTTAGCCTAAAACATCCTTTTTTTAACCAAGTCCGCCATTATGGTTTTTGTTGTTGTGCTTTTTAATAAATAATTTAAGTTCTAGTAAAAGAGTATGACTAAAAATTGATACCCAGCCATTTTTGAGATTACTGAATTCAAAAATGTGGAGATAATTGTGAAATTTAAAATTTTTGATGTTTATTTTTTGATTTTAAAATGGCCAGTCAATTTTTTTGTCCTATTACCATGGGTTGCGCTTTTACTATCTCCTGGAGTTGCCCAAGTCTCATGGATTCAATTTTTTTTTCAAATGAAAGAGGACATCTTAGGCTATCTTAATAAAAAAGATGGTTTTGGTCTCTTGAAGCATAATAAAACTATGTCATTTTGAAATTTAGGCAAAAAAAATTCCTTTTTTGGACTCTTTGTGTGAGTAATTTAAGTTATAGTGGAGGAATATGACTGAAATTTGATAACTGACCATTTTTGAAGGTGCTGAATCTAAAGATAAAGAGAAAATAACCCAATTCTAATTGTTTAATAATAATTTTAAAATGTTGCCAGTCAAATTATTTATTTCATTAGCATGGGTTATGTTTTACTCATTTTTGGAGCTGATTTTTGGTTTCTGAAAGAAAAAAAAAATTTTTTTTTTTTAACTTGCATATGTATATTCAATATCTTTTAAAGTATTTATGATAATATAATTTGCATTACAGTACATTGAAAATATAATTACTTTATTTATCATTTATAGTAATTTAACCAGCATGTCTAATAATTAAGTATTGATTTAAAATAATTTTGAAAATTTTATGCTGCATTTTCAAATGTGCTTCATACTCCTTTACAAAAAAAAATGTTTTTGTAAAGGAGTAAAATATCTCCTTTGTTGGGAAAAAGGAACTCAACAAGAACAATGAAAAGAAATAAGCAAATGTTACAAAAATTGAAGTTTTTATAATTTTAGAAATAATTTGTTTAACTAATGAATTTGGGGCATGGTGATAAGGCTAAATTTGTCTTCTTCTAGCTCCGGTCATGTAATTATTTTTTTATGAGTTACGGCTGTTAATTTTTTATTTTTCTTATTGGCAAAAAGTGTAAATAAAAAAAAAAAATAAAAAAATAAAAGTGAAATACTAATAAACTTTCATTGACAACATAAAAGCTGTTTAAATAGAGTTTCATCTTCTTTTGAGATGTGGTACTGACGCCCAGAAGATGTTGATGGTGTTTTAACAAAAGAAATGATGTTCATTCTTGGCACCCAGCAATTATCATCCCGGTTTGGCCAGTAGTACGACCGACTTGGATAATGTGGACACTGACTTTTGCTCCAATGGTAACTCTGTACCTCGTCTTGTACTACAAAAGTGTAATTCTCTGCAAAATCTACCAGGACAATTGCCTCATCAATACTAAGTGTTTCCTTGAGATGCTTGAGATAGCTAGATTGTGATTTTGCAATAAATGAATGACAAGTAATTTTATCAAGCTTTTCACACAGCAGATCTATAAATTCATTTAATGGTAGGTTTATTGTTAATAGTTCAGTTCTATCTGTTGTTGCCCACTGTTTGAAATCCACGGACTGTTCATTTTCATCACTGTCATATTGCTCTTCTGGGTCATCATTTTGTGTAAGATACTGTTGTAAAAAATTTTGGGCAGCTTGTATGCCAGGACAACTATTGCATCGGTGAATCATGCAAACTTTTGATTTTCTGCTGCATACAATCATTTCAATGATTTCATGGTAAGACATTTCTAGGCCTACAGCACTTAACATCAATTTAACATTTTGATGTATTGTACACACACAAACAGAATGTGTACCTTTTGGACCAGCAAGGATGCACCATTTAGGCCGAAGACTGCAAAATTTGGAGAATCCAATTTTATGCTCAGGGTACTTTATCTTATATGCTGCATAGAGCTCTTTTAAGTTACACAAAATCAATTTTTTTGACATGTGTTTTTTTTTTCCAATACTTACATAGTCTTTTTTACCTGGCATTTGCCTTGAATACTCATCATCACAGTAAAAAAGTTTTACAAGTTCTATAACAATTTTGCTGATTCGATGCCGTTCAACCATATCAGGGTATGCTATGATGCCTTTTTGGTCACGTAAAAACTTGGCATTTTGAATTTTGTGCTTCGAAACTGAAAACTCTTTTGCTGCTTTTCTGATAGACCAAGATTTTGGGGTCAATGTCAAAATTTGAAGTTGCTGCCTTCTGTTAGAAACTTTAAGTTTTTCTTTCATGCATTCAACAAGGAAGTCTAGATCGCCAGCTTTGGTTTGAATCTCCTTTAAAACTTCAATGTTGTTTGGTGCAGCAAGATCGCATTCAGTGACATCTAGAGCAGTTGCAAGTTTTTTAATGACTGCTTCTTCAACTTGCTTTATCTTTCTCTTTCAAGTGAAGACTTGTTAGAGGTTTTAGGTAAATTTAAAACTTTTAGAGGAGACACTTCAAGTTCACATAAGGTATTGTTGAGCAATGATCTTGCTGATTCTAGCATAATTTCTTTCTCCATATCATCTTCAATGAATTTTTCCTCTAATTCAATTTCTTCTGGTTGTTCACTTGATGCTAATTTATGTCTGCATTGTGGACAAAGCTTTTCACCTGGTACTACAAATTTGCCTTTACTGCATAGAGATTTTGCTGTATCCAAGTTGATTTCACGAAGACTGCCTGAAAAGAAGAGAAGAACTCTTTTAATTTATAAAATAATGTTACTAAAATCTTTTAAAGTTGAATGTTGTATAGTTAAATATAGATAAAGTAGAACTTGGTTGCCAAGAATTTCATTATTGTAATTCTCAACACTTTCACATTGTAAATTTGAGAAATAAAAGGTGTCGCTACTAAAAATACCTTTTTTAACTTTGTTATGGATATTAAATGGGTTGCAGCAACGTGTTAGTTTAGTTGCATAACGCTTCAAATAAACATGTTTATGATGGAGGCAAGTTGTTGATTTAACATTGATTATTGATAGCCCAGTCCTCCACATTAATATTTCTCTTTCATAATCAGGAATATCTTCAAAATATTCGATTCCAAGCAACGGTGTATATGTTGTGAGATGACATTCACTTTCTAGATTTATTCCAATAGAGCACTGTTGATTATTTATCATGACTGAGAAACCAAATAAGAATCAATAATTAATTAATCTAAAATTAAAACAATTTTATGCATTATAACTGGCATTTCAAAACAATATTTATACATCATAACTGGCACCAAAAAACTATATTTATACATCATAACTGATGTATAAATAGCAAAACTATATTTCTACATCATATTAACCAACCTCAAAAAACTATTTTTCTAAACCACAACTAAATCAATGAGATTCAGGCAATTCAAGGTTTAGTGAAAGCATTAACCTGTTTATGGCAAGGAAACAAAATACTTGACTTACCATTTTAAAATAAAAAAAGATTATCAAATATTTTGATTTTGGTTATTTTCTTTTTATATTTGAATTCAGCGCCTTCAAAAATGGTCAGGTACTAATTTTTACTCATATTTCTTCATTTCAATTACTCACACTTAAAGTATTGTTAAAAAATCTATAATAGAGAATTTAGACCAAATGAGGAATTTTTTATCTAAACTTCAAAATGACATATCTTTATTATGCTTCAAGAGACCAAAACCATATTTTTTATTGAAATAGCTCAAGATCTCTACTTTCATTTGAACAAAAACTCAAATCCATGAGACTTGGGCAACTCCCACAGATGGTGAAAGCGCAACCCACAGTGATGAAACAGAAAACTCAACCAACCATTTTAAAATCAAAAAATGACCATTAAAAATTAAAAATTGGGTCGGTTTCTCTATATTTTTGAATTCAGCACCCTCAAAAATGGTCAGGTACCAGTTTTTAGCCATATTCTTCCACTAGAACATAAATTATTCATTAAAAAGTACATCAACAAAATCCATAATGGCAGATTCGGGGAAAAAAAAGCTGTTTGAGGCTGAATTTCAAAATGTCATAACTTTTGAACCGTTTGGATTTAGAAGCTCAAACTTTAAATTTTTTCATGTTTCATTGATAGGTTCCACTGGTTGAAGTTTGAAAGACATCTAAAGGGGTGACTGAAAAATTAAAATTTTTTGTCCCACTTTTACATGGAATTACCCATGTATATTATATATATATATATATATATATATATATATATATATATATATATATATATATATATATATATATATATATATATATATATATATATATATATATATATATATATATATATATATATATATATATATATATATATATTATATATATTTTATATATATATATATAAATATATATATATATATATTTATATATATATATATATATATATATATATATATTTATATATATATATATATATATATATCATATATATATATATATATATATATATATATATATATATATATATATATATATATATATATATATATATATAAATATATATATATATATAAATATATATAAGAGTATATATATATATATATATATATATATATATATATATATATATATATATATATATATATATATATATATATATATATATATATATATATATATATATATATATATATATATATATATATATATATACTCTTGCATGTCTCTTGCGTGGCATCAAAAAAAGTTTCCCATAAACTGTAGTTTTAAAGAGCGCGTTAATAAACCAGACCAGAAAAAGATTTAAAAATTTAAAAATTAATTTTTTTTTTTTTAATTGATAGACTGCCTGGCCAAACCAAACCCTCAGTCGATGTAGCAGCACTCTCTTGCGAGTCAGGCTATTTGTCAGTCGTTGTAGCAGCACTCCCTTGCGAGTCAGGCTATTTGTCAGTCGATGTAGCAGCATTTCCTTGCGAGTCAGGCTATTTGTCAGTCGATGTAGCAGCACTCCGTTGCGAGTCAGGCTATTTTTCAGTCGATGTAGCAGCACTCCATTGCGAGTCAGGCTATAAGATAGTCGATGTAGCAACATTTACGCATGTTTTAAAAATGTTTTTTATTAAATCAATAACAAAAACACAACTAATTAAAAAAAACTTTCTAGTCGTTATAATTGCGGTTTTTAAAAAAATTTTTAAAAAACAATTAAATTTAATGTACTTCCGCATAAATTAATTGCTTTGACATTTCGATGACAATCAAAAACAGCTTAAGAGACGAGGTAATTAAAATTGTAGTCGTAAGAGACTTTTTTTACATTAAAACGCTCTTTCGACTACACTATAAGGGTATATATATATATATATATATATATATATATATATATATATATATATATATATATATATATATATATATATATATGTTTGTATGTATGTATGCATGTATGTATATAACAATTGTTTACTTGTATCTAACTAATCAGTTTTCAATTACACTGTCATCGGCGAAGCATTTGTCGGAATATAGCAAGTCAATAAACAGGGAAAGATGAATCATACCAACTATAAATTTTTTCGTTGAACCCATATTTTTCAATGAGTCTTTGTTTGATAACAAATACTTATTGAACTCATAAGTTTCAAAAAATGTTATGGCACAATGTTTCATTAACATGAAAGGAGGCTTTTTCATTTAAAAATCAAATTAAGTTTTCAACTTGATCCCAAGTAGGGATACTGTCAAGTTTCATCCAACCGAAAGCTTTTAACTCTTTTTTTTTTTTATTTGCATTCACTCCCAACAAGGCTGCAAGCAACCACCATTAAGTTGGGAGTTACTAGGAAAAAAAAGAACAGAATTATAGAGCATGAAAACAGTTGACAGAAGACTTAAAAAGTTGAAAGTTGTATGAGTCAGGAAAACAGAAAGATGGGAGAGAGTTCCAAAGGATTGAAGTGCAGGGAAAAAAACTAGATAAATAAAAGTTTATAGAGCATGCAGGGACAGATACAGTAAACGAATGAGACTTAGCTGAATGACGAGTAAAACGAGAATGAATTTTAGTTGATGGAACTAGAGAAGATAACTCCTTTGAGCAGTGACCATGATAGTATTTGTAGAAAAGAGAAAGAGATGCAACTTTACGACGATGGGAAAGAGGCTTAAGCTTAGCAGATAGTCCAGGTCCAACAATGCGTTTTAGGACCTTGTCAAGAAGAAAAAGTGAATCGTTAGAAGAACCAGCTTAAATATGACAACAGTATTCCATACAGGGGCAAATAAGAGATTTGTAGAGGTAGAGAATGGAATCAGATGTAAGGAAATGGCGAGCACGATAAAGAGATGCAACCTTAGCAGATATATGGTATGTATATATGGTTTCCATGAAAGGTCAGTAGTAAGCAATAATCCAAGAAGACGTAAAGTGGAGGACTCAGTAAGAGGATTGCCATTCATTAATATAGGAATGTTGACCATATTACGGTAGTTGTTTGCAGTAAACAACTGGGTTTTGTTAGAGTTGAAATTCACAAGACACTGTGAACCCCAATCTATTACTGAAGTGAGATTGGATTCAAGATCAGCTGCTTGTTCTAGGCGATCGAAAAGAGAAGATTTTTTGCCAAGACAGGAGTATAAAGTTGAGTCATCAGCAAAAAGAGCTACTTTAGATGAAAGGTTGTCAGGAAGATCATTTATGTAGATAAGAAACAAAACAGGGCCCAGGATGGAGCCTTGGGGAACCCCAGAAGTTACTGGAAATAAAGAAGAGTGTTGGCTTTCAAGGATGACTTTAATAAACCGGTTAGAAAGAAATGATTTGATAGTCTCAAAAACTTTCCCAGAAACACCATATGAAGCAAGCTTATGGAGAAGACCAGCATGCCAAACTTTATCGAAAGCTTTAGATATGTCGAGAGCAATAGCCCTAGCCTCACTGCCTCCATCTAATGTACGATAAAATCTTTCAGTTACAGCAGTTAGCAAGTCGGCCATAGAGCGAGAGGATCAAATACCGTATTGATTGTCTGACAGTAGTTTATTTGACTCAAGATGAGATGTGAGGAATTTGTTGATCAAAGACTCAAAGACCTTGCTAATAACAGAAAGAAGACTGATCGGTCGATAATTGGAGGGGTCAGAATTTTCTCCAGAGTTTTTGAATATTGGAACCACAGATGCCATTTTCCAACAAGCAGGAAAACAAGACTCAGTCAAACACTTGTTAAATAGTTTAGAGAGAATTGAAGAAAGTTCTGGAGAACAATTCTGCAAGACTGTGACAGGAATGTTGTCTGGACCACAAGCTGTAGACGAGTTTAATTGAAATATGACTTTAGCAACAGAAGCCCGAGTGATTTGAATGTCTAACAATGGGTCAACCTGTTTGACTGGAATGGAAGGAAGAGAATGTCCATAAGATTCAAGAGTGGAATTAGAAGAAAAGTTCTTTGCAAATAGTTCTGCCTTATCCTTGGGAGAGGTAACAAGATCAGTCCCATGAATGAGAGATGAAATGTTAGATCTACCCTTGTTATTAATGCTGTTGAAGATTTTCCAAAAGTCTTTAGAGCCTAACTTATGTGATAAGATGCGAGATTTAGTGAACTGAGAATAATGGAGTTTAGCATCAGAAAGCTTTTTACATCGATTTCTTGCAATAATAAATAGCCGTTTGTTCTCAAAAGGGTTGTTCTTTTGAAAAAGATGAAAAAAATGATTACGATTGGATATAGCACAAGAAGGAGAAAACCATGGAGTAGAATGAGGTTTGACTTGAAACCGACGAGAAGGAATAAAAGCTTCCATTCCAGCCTGAATCCAGGAGGTTATGTAGGAGGCGCATTTATCAGCCGAGAGAGAAAAAACATCCGCCCAAGGACTATCACAAAGAAAATCACAAAAAGAATCCTAGTCAGCTTTAGGGTAGTAGAACCTAAGCTAGGGTCAGAGACAAGACATAAGTCATAGAGTGAAGGTAAATGATTAGGGTTGTCAGGAAAACGAGTCACAAAGTTAACTATCTGAGTAAGATATTGAGAAACGCAGAAGTTAAAGGCTTTAGTGTCAGCAGGATCAGTGGTATTAGAGCCAAGCCCTTCAGTGTGATGGGCATTAAAATCACCAACAACAACAATATTGGCAGAGGGGTAAAGAGAGAGGGCATGGTCAAATTGATCAGAGATAACATCTAAAAGAGTGCAATCATGGGAAGAAGGAAAACGATAAAGAACAAAGAGAAAGGTGATAGTGAAGAGGTGCTAGGCGAAAGCACATAAAAGAATGGTCAAAGGATTCTAACCTGATATCTTGTTAAATAGGGGAATTAATGCGTATGTATACCCCTAAACCTAGCATGTGACTATTGGAGTCTTTACAAATCAAAGGATAGTACCCATCAACACTGACATCTGAAGAAGGAATTGCCTTTTTTTTTAAACCTTTAGGTACACAATATATATATATATATATATATATATATATATATATATATAAATTATGTTAGTCTACAAATAGAGTGCTCAATCTTAAAA